CGTGGTTGTGTCTCTTTGTCCCATTAAGAACGGCATCGAACTTCCAAAAAAAAAAAAAGAAAAAAAAAAAAAAAGAAAAGGGACGACTTGGAACGTAGCCCAGGCAAATTTTTGACTCTGTGCATGCATGAGGCGAGGTCCGGATCGAGGGCAGTTACGTGTTCTTTGGGCTCCATGTTTGGAAAGTCGGCTGCGGAGGTGTTAGCTGCGATCGTGTGATTAGGGGCTTGGCATCTTTGCCAAGTAGGCCGAACAAGGGACTTTCTCGGCGGCATCTTTGCCAAGTAGGCTTTTTTGTAGGAAACATGCCAGGGACTTTCTCGGCGGCGCTGGCTTCTGCTCCTGCCACCATTGATGGGCTGCGATCCGCCATTATGTGGAAATGAGTTGCTGGTATGTATCAGGAACAAGATTTAGGCCATGTGCGGTTTTTAGAGATTTTTGTATGAATTAGGAACAGGAAATAGGCCTTGTACGGTTTTGTGTTTTCTTATTTTCTCATTTTCCCGCCTGAACCTATTACCGTTGGTTGGAACTTTGGGAGGCTACCGGGGGCCCAAGCAGTGCGACTTCAGTTTAGTTTCGATGAACTGGACCAGTTTTCTGGATAATAGGGGAGTTTTTCCAGGCCTCTGAATGCTCGGTCTACCGAGTTTATGCCTGCGAGGAGCTCGTACAACTGATTATATACCACCTCGTCGCAGAACTCCTCCTCTCAGTTTCGAACGTGCTTCCTCGCTGTTCTGCTGCTCCGTGGGTCGATGGCAACGAACGCTGATGCCGATCCTGGTTGCCAGCGTGTTCGTGACAGTTCATCCGCTGGCGCCGGCGATGCATTAGTCTCGGATCCAGGGATTCACAGCGACTGAGTTCGAGCTTCAGCGACGCTGAATACTTGCAAGAACTGGTGATTGTTTGTGCTGTGCTGTGATCTGTCTGTGTGCCTGGTTGTGCTTGTACGTACTGTGCAGGTACTACTACGGTGCCTCTGATGGCGCGTCCTCAGATTTTGGTTCTTCTTCTTCTTCTCCTCCCGACGGTTTCGATCGCTCATACGGTGTCTGCTGTGATGACAGGGCACGTTCTTCTTTCGGGGATCCTTGATTGGATCTTCGACCACGCACCTTGGCACGATGGGATTAGAGATAGGATTGGGGTTGGTTGATGGAGTTACGGGGCAAGGCAAGGGTATGGCCCCGTCGAAGGCCGATCTATTTCACAGTTGTATTTCCTCCTGATGAGTCTGCTTGCGGTAGTAGACGAAACGCGTCGAGGGTGTTCCGCGTTTTAAAGCTGTGTTGATTGGATATTCTGGCTCCTTCTTTTGCTATATAAGGCGTGCGCAACAGATCGTTTCCATGGGTGTATTTCATGATTCTGTTCTCATGCTTGTACTGTCTCGCCGGGCAGTTCTTTCCTTTTCCTTTTACGTGTTCTTTTGCTTTAATTTTTTTTTTTTTTTTTTTTTTTTAACATCCTGATGTTCCAGCTACTAGGGGTAATGAATGATAAGAGCATGTACCCCTCGTAGTTCTTCCTTTTCCAGGTGAATCCTATACTATCTATTGGTTGGGAGCAGCACCTGCAGGCTGCTGCAAACGGGGTCCAGCCAGCAACCCTAATCAACATCCAAGATTTAAAAAAAAAAAAAAGCTATATTCTTCTCTCAATTTCACCTCACACTACCTACCTACCACTAGTCCTAATTGTAGGCATACGGGGAACCCCGTAGCAGCCAGCACCGTGTTCACGAGAGAACATGCGGGGGAGCAGCCCCCGACCTGCGGGTGGGCGATACCGGCTAGGGGGCAGCCGGTAGCATCAGGGACCATGCCAACAGGACCAATCCCTATGCCTCCCCTCAGGTCCCCTCCCCTATGAACATCAGCAGACTCTGCTAAATGCCAATCAGGGGATCCAGTGGTCTATCTCTAGGTGGTGGGAGCCAAGCATGCCCAGGAAGGTACATGAGGCCAATGGGGATTGAACCCACGACCTCCTGAATGCCACTTGCGAGCCTTACCAACTGAGTTAGGCTGCTGGATCAGAAATGAGGAACAGTTTCGAATGATTTTTAGGTTAAAAAAAATAAGGGTTAGGGCCTCATTCGACACCACTAGAAAACCCTTATTTTGTAAGGGCGCCCTTACCACGAAAACGTGATTAGTTTTCCCTTACTCCGTTTTTCGTTCCACAACCATTTACGAAAACTCTACACTTTATCGCACTTACATTTCAGGTGCCCCCGTTCGCGCCTTGCGCGGTCGAGAATTGAATGTGAGTGTCTGACCCAGTGTTGCGGTGGACAAAATCGTGCCCGCCTGCCTAGGGCCCGTGGGAAACCCAGGCCTGCCATTTCCCCAAGGCGGGCGTGGGCCTGTCGCGGGCGCACAGCGTCATTCGGCCATGGAGGTTAAAGCGCGCTAGGACCCCGAACATTCGAATTCAAATTCCGCGCCCGCCAGATCCCTTCGCGCTCATCGCTTTGTGGACTCCCTGCCGTCGCGTTTCCCGTAGTGTACGCGCCAGTCATCCATCGTTGAGCGTGCACACGTGGCTTCGCGTGTCGCTGTCGTCTGCGTTTTGTGCGCAGCGTAGTCTAGCTATGGACAACAGTGGGCGCGATCCACAGGCGGCGAGGAGATTGTCAACCAGTGAGAAGACCATGGTTGCCAGTGCTGTCCTCGCTGTCACGCTGTGTGCCGGTACATGGAGACGGTGAACGGGTTGCGGCGTGCGGGTGGGAGGGGGAGGGGAAGGAGGGAGGCCAGCATAGCCCAGGCGTTGGCAGACGTCTGTACATCGTCCGGTCTATCAGATGCTCCTTTCATGTTGTCCAACGCAATTGTTGCTGGTGTTCTGCCCAGGGACACACCGCGGTGGTGGATGAAATGACGAACGACCGAGACGTGGCGAGACTTGGACATTGTAGACGACGCGACGGATGAATATTTCCATGACAAGCTTCGAATGTCGAGGGCCATATTCGGGGACATTGTTGCGGCTCGCATTCCATTCATCGACCGAAGACTGACGCACTACCGCGAGCCCTTGCAGACAGACCTTATCGTCGCCTTCGCTTTATATCGGTGGGCCACCGGGGAGACGTTTGAGAACGCTTCGTCGAGCTTTGGCATCGGCAGGTCGTCCGGGGTGACGGCCGTCACGGACGTCGCCAATGCAATACCGGCTGCATATCCAGATAAAGTCGCCATGCCGTCCGGCCATCGGCTGCTGCAGGTGACCCGAGCATTCGGAGCGAAGGGCTTCCCTAATTATTTCGGCGTAATCGACTGCACGCACGTGTACGTGGACAAGCCCGCCAACGCACCGTCGGAGAACTACTTCGATCGAAAACAGCAGTTCTCGGTCGTCGCCCAAGCTGTTGTCGACCTCGACATTAGAATTTTCGATGTGTTCATGGGCTACCCAGGGAGCGTCCACGACCAGCGGGTTCTGAGAAATTCTTCACTCTTTCGGCGTGCGGAGGCAGGGGAGCTCTTCGTCGCGGAACCTGTTCTGCTGCCAGGGGGGTGTCCACAACAGGGTACCTGCTTGGGGACAACGGCTACTCGCCGAGAACGTGGATGGTGGTCCCCTACGGGGGGACAGACCAAGCAGGGGACATCGGATTGTTTGACACGCAGCAGAAGACGACGAGAGGAGTCGTGGAGAGGGTTTTCGGGCGTTTGAAGGGGATGTGGAGGTTGTTCCTCCGCCATCACAAGACTAACATGGATAATCTGCCTCAGCAATTTCTGGCCGTTTGTATCATCCACAACTTGTTGCTTGAGGCGGGCATACCGTTCGACGACTCGGTCCTACTCGAGCCGGACGAGAACGACAATCTGGTTCGTGTCGATCTGGGGTTGCAAGATCCGCCACGACTAGTGTCGCAATCGGGCGCAACCGACGCTGCCCTGGCTTTGCGTGACGGGTTACGTGTGCGAATGATGAACTGAATCTTTGGGTGTGCGGCCGACGGTCATGTTCGGTATCTTTGGGTGTGTCAATTACAGGGTTTACTGCTTTAGACGGCGCCAACCAATCCTTCTTCACTTGGAGAAGCAATTAGTGCTGGTTGCCTTTTTTGGTTAAGTGTGGCGTGTGCGGTCGTCGGCGGGGGGAATGGGCCGATCGTGCATCGCTATATCGGCGTGTTTATGTGATGACAGTTCTTTGATTTTATCTCCCGCGTTCATGTTCTAGTTTTTTATATAAGTGAACATTTTGTGTCTTTCTTTCAAAAAGTCATCATCCTTTCTTGTCCTATTGATATTCCGCGTGGATGGTAAATGTTTTTCAATCTGTGTGTTTTTTTCCCAAAAGATAACGACCATGTGTGTTCATTTGCTTTCTCAGTTTTACAGTCGTTCATGGGTGAGGCGAAGCATACAATAGAAGTTTGTTGCACATGAGCTTTGTATGTGTTCGGCACAATACAGAACCCGAATGTAATCGACATCCGCACACCCACTGGCGAAAAAAAATAGCCACGCAAAAACACATACTCTCTTCACAATCTGAAACCCACACTCTGCAAACAAAGGGCAAAAGACACAAACCAGCCAACACAATTGAACCCTAAAAGTGCATGCGAACTTAAAAAAATGTGATGAACAACTCCACCACCACCTCACAAACCCTAAATGGGCCACGCGCATGTGTTACCACCTCCCCCACCATGCCAGTTCCAATGTGAGCCATGCTTGTGCCGCATGCCAACAGAAGTACACGGGGAAACGTCTCTCCACAACATTCAACGAACAGGGACACGCAGTCGTTGTCCATCGTAAACGAAGAAGATAAGCCAAACAAAAAAGATAAGGGTGTCATCCATTAGGAACATGATTTNTCTCTCTCTCTCTCTCTCTCTCTCTCTCTCTCTCTCTCTATATATATATATATATATATATATATATATATATATATATATATATATATATATGTATGTATCTGTCTTCGCGTCTCTCTCTCTCTCCTCTCTCTCTCTCTCAAGTGCGAGCGGCGAACGGTTTGCCGCCATTGCTTCCATCCACACCTACTCATCGATGTTGCGGATCTCGCCACGGAGACCCGGGCGGTCGTGCATGGGAGGATCCGGGTGCACCCGGAAATCCGCAGGAACAGTCATGCGGTCGTCGTGCTCGTTCGCTATGTTCGACATCAGGAGGTCGAGGATATCAGCGAGAACGTCTACTCCTCCTTCCCAGCGGTTGGGGATCGTGCAACCGACTTTCGTTGCGTAGCCAACCACCTCGCGCAGCATGTCATCCGCATATTCCAACGCGACGATGACGTTGAGAATCGTGTCACCGTTCGCGTCCACATCGTAATGCTGCACTTCGTGTCCACTGACCTCGCCCACAAAATCAAACAACCTGCCGTCCTTCTCTCCTCGACAATGCTTCATCTCGTAAAAAGTTATAGTACGACTGAGGACACGACCTCTGAGCGCCACCTGGATGTCCATTGATGCGCAGGGCCGCACCCCCACGCAGCTGCGATGTCCGATCTCGACTTCCGTAACGACAACCCCTCGATGACCGCCACATACGATATCACTATTGCCACTATGTTCCGCTTTGAACACGAGTGCGCAATTCACCATCCTCGTGTCGGAGGACCGCTTCCCCACCACCAGCCTCGGCGCACATATGACCCTCACAGGGAGACAAACTACAAGTTTTTGTACACTCCCAACGTCCACCGTCCACGCACTTTCGGCACGTGAGCTCCCACGACCGATCTCTCACGTTGGCGTTGGAAACACGATGCCATGACCTTTATTAAGTTTCGCTGGCATCGTCGTGCGCCCTGAGTTGATCGCCGAGATGAAACGCGTCATGTTGGCGCAGGGGCCAGATCCTATCAACCCCTCCCTCCCCCATACCAACCCCTCCCCCATACCGACCCCTCCACCCCTCCCTCCAAACGAACCACCCCATCGGTGATGCGACATACGAAGCGAACACCATGGATGGGATGCTTATCCCTACCCCTCTTGGACTTTATCCAACCTTAAGACATCGGGTTGCGACCACCCGCGCCGACTGCAAATGAACGGTCGATGAGAGGGAAAAAAAAACAACAACAAAAAGTCATAAAAAAAAAAAAAAAAAATTTGAAATATACCGACAGAAAATGTTCAACAAACAATCATGTGAAATAACCCTACACAAGCTGATGGACGGGTTCAAAAGCCAGTGGTCGACATCGTTGTGAATCGTGAACGACAACGTCATGGAAAAGGCAGCAAAAAAACGGAAAAAAAAAAAAAGAATGGGGGGGCGAAATCTAGCCTTGAAATGACACCCTGCGCACCGCCCGTGCAAGCGCACCCGCCTGGGTGTTGGGTTTTGCTGTCCTGTCACAACCTCGCAATCAATCCCTGGCCAATGCCGATGCGATCTTAAGCAGAGCATCGCACAACATCCGTTGCCCGACGTCCAGAACTTCGCATTGCCATCTTGCGTTCTCGCCTCCCTCTCCTTTATGTCGCACTGCCGTTGGAGCACGTCGCACTACCGCTTGCTCGCGCGGTCTACGGACTCTGCGACAACGGTCGAGTGCGTTTTCATCACATCTGTCACCGCCTCGAAAGCCAGTTGCCTGGCGTTCTTCCGCTTGCCTTGAATGCCGTTTGAAGACGACCTGCTGCCACACCCGTCCCCTGTATCCGCTCCCCTGTTCTCGCTCACCGAAGTGTCAGCTTCCCCACCACCCGCTGCCGCTTGGCTTTGCTCACCTTGTTGTGACTGTTGTCCTTGTGTGTTGCCTGTGTCCACGAGATTCGGCGGGTGGACGGCCTGGTTGTTCCCCTGCATGATGTGGATCGCGTCGTATAGAGTGCGGTCTAGATTGAACCTGTACCCTTTCTCCTTTCGTGCTTTCGTGGTCATGAGGAAGTACGATTGCAGTCCCGAATCCTTCTCCCTGTCCCACACTTTCCTGTACCACCCGAATATGTTCTCCCATCTCTTCATGCATTGCTCCCCGTCTCGCCGAACTCCTTCCTTCTCCATCCGCTTAGCGATGTCCATACACTTCTAGTCCTTCGTTTTCATTCTGGCGAAATTGGTTCGCGCATTAGCGAAGTAGTCGTCTTGGTCTGTCTTGCACCGGACAAGAATGAGGGACTCGTTCAAACTCCAGTTCCCCCGCGCTCCGCTCCCGCCACCCTCGCCGTTCGTATCACCTTTTTTATCCTTACCCTTCGCTTTCCCATGGACTTTGGAAGCTTGCTTTTCCGTCCCGCCGGAGACTGCTTCCTTGACCGGAGTTTCGTCTTCGTCTTCCTCGTCACCGCCATCGTCTTTTACGTCGACGCGGTCCGCCTCGCTGGCACCACAGTCACGGCCGCCCGCATCACCGTCGCTGGTCGGCCTCGAGCTATTGTAGCGGCAGACAATACGCTCCACGCATCGAGGTGATTCTGCAACCCCGCCCAGATCAGGCCTCCGTTCCAGCATGGCCGCGCCTGTTCCTTCACCTTCGCTGGTCGCCTGTAAGCTGTTGAACCGGCAGACGATACGCTCCACGCATCGAGGGGACTCCGCAACACCGCCCACATCAGCCCTCTGATCCTGCATGGCCGCGCCTGCCGCAGGTTGGTGATACGGCACGCTGCCCGCTGGTGCGGCCTGGCTAGGTGCAGGCCTTGACATGTGGTTCGGCCGATGCATTGATACCCCGTCGTCAAGGACACAAGCATGCATTGTCTGCGTGCTCGCACCACCACCCTGTCGACTCTGCTGGACGAGGACCGTTCTAGACACGTCCATGGTGGCCGTTGGTGACAGTTGCAAATCGAATGGATGACGACCTCTGCCCCGCGTTTCGCCCAGCAAAGCGGACATCGGACCCACACCCCCTCCGGTGCTTTCAACTCGCGGTGGTGTGTCGTAAGACGTCTGTGTCGACCCCCATGCCAGACCCAATGTCGACGGAGGGGGCGTCCAGGTCGTGTCATCAGGCAAAGGCTGCTGGTGAGGAGGGAGATGCGAATACAAATTTGGATCAAACCTATGGTGGAGATTGTGTTGCATTCCACTCCCTCCTCCGTACACCCCCCTCCCCATCCCAAAACCTTCACAACCCCGACTGTATTCGTCCCCCATCCCTTTGCTCCCCGATGCGCCCTGTCGAAGCATCTTCAACCCCTTCCTCCTTCCACGCCGGATGCGAGCACCGGCCAGGTGGCACGCGCGCAGAGCTATGAGCAGCACCACGGCCCCAAACAGGATAATTAGCAGAGCTAACTTCCTCACCATGTTAGCCATGCGCGCCTGCAGCTAAACACGACACACAGATCTGCTACCTTTCGATGAGGACAAAGCGCGGAAGCAGAGGAGTGCAATATAGCGGCTCGCGGAAAAGGCCCGGCAGGCGACGGGCAGCGCATACCACCCACTTCGCATTCGAAAGACACGCCGCCAACGGCACTCGCGCGCCCACCTCCGCGGGGACCCCCGCAACGGTCGTCTCCACACGCAAGCCGAAACGACTAGCCGGAGGTACCACATGGCTGCAGCCGGGCCACGGCGCTGCCCGTTGGAGACTACTGTGGAACCGCCGTCCCATGGTGTACCGGACAACCCAGCGTTTGGACCAGGAACGCGAAGGAAACACCTGAGGACAAAAGAAAACAAAAATGTCGGCGTTTTTCCCGTGGAAAGTAAGGGCGCCACCCCTACTTTCAAGTCACCTCCACGGCCGTTCTTGCGTTTGTGTCCGTTTTGGCTGGGGAGTCCTTATTTTTGTAGGGCTCGCCCTTACGCCCGCGAATGTGAAAACAAATTTCGCATCTTTTTTTTCGTCATTAGGGAGAGGTGGAACGATGAAACCCTTACATGTGAGGGTTTTCTAGTGGTGTCGAACGAGGCCCTCAATACCAAAAATATTGCTGTTTTGAAGTTTGGCAGCAAAAATGTCGTCCCTTCGAAGTTTCCTTTGCAAAAATAAATAGAGGTTTCGTTGCAGCTTTATCGCGTTCCCATAGTTTGCCAGCAAAAATACAGTGTTTTGCCAAGTTTCACGGCAAAGGACCGCTAGGCCTCTGGCCTCAGGGACTCAGGAACTCAGCGGTCTGGCCTGAGGCACTCAGCGTTGTTGTTGTTGTTGTTTTTTGTTATTTTTTTTCGGGGCATGGCCGATGCATCTGGGCATGCCCGCGGCCGAGATCCCTCGGCCACGACCGCGAAAAAAAAACAAACAAGAAACGTGGCCGAGGCATCTCGGCGTGGCCACGACCGAGATGCATCGGCCACGCCCACGGAAAAAAAAAAAAAAAAAAAAAAAAAACCAACCAGCTGACTGCCTTAGGCCAGAACGCTGAGTCCCCGAGTCCCTGAGGCCAGGGGCCTAGGGGTCCTTTGCTGTGAAACTGGGCGAAACGCGGTATTTTTGCTGGCAAACAACCGGAACCCCAAAGCTGCAATGAAACCTCTATTTTTGCAAAGGAAACTTGGAACGGACGACATTTTTGCTGCCAAACTTTGAAACAGCACTATTTTTGAAATTAACCCTTAAATTGGTTCATCTCGAAGAGCTTCACCTCTCGTCGTAGGGGAACATCGAGGCCAGATTTTTTTGTTTTGTTCCGTGCGTTTTTTTTTTTTTTTTGTGCAATCCTTTCATTACCCAAGGCAAATGTTCATTACACATGGACCAAAGGAGGTAGTGTTGGAGAAAGAGGGGAGGGGGAAAGGTCGGCACGCGACTTCTGCGGCGCTCGCGCCTGCGCTGTTTTCGCGTGGCTAGCACACACGGTCATTTTCTCACCATAGCTATCCAGCTTTCCACCACGATCGGTGAAGGCGATTAGGGTTTCTCGGCATCACTCCATCGCGAGCCCTCCTCTCCGCGTGGAAGCCTTTTAACCTTGGGAGACCACTTTCCCCCGAGCCCATCTCATCAGATTACTCAGAACATACCCAGTTTTTACCAGCGTAACGCTCTGGCATGAGCGTTCCGCTACAGGGATTTACACAGAAGCGGCTTCCGTGGAGGGATAACGCAGTATAATTTTTATACTCGCTTTCTCCTACTCGGTCCATTCATCATTACGTTACTAAATCCGGAAGCTCTCGCCTCTCCAAGTTTCTTCCTTTTCGATTCGGGCCATCCTGTTTTGTTCGTTTTCCTCGCGGCCCGTCTACTGGTGGACACATCTACGGCTGTTCCGCGACAGGACGTACATCATTGCAGCGGCTTTCTCTCCTCCGGAGAACATTGAACACGGCTTCCCCGCACAGTAAAGTGAGCTGGTATATACCGTCCATCCCTCCTCGGAACTCTCCCCCCTTTTTCCCCACTATCGATACCAATCCAGATCGGGACTTAAACTTAATTCTTCTCTCCATCACACTTTCCACGTAATAGGCCCCCCTCACTGACACTCACCCATACGATTCCCCACTCCGTACCTTTAGTGGGACCGGTACCTCCCCTCCTGAAGGCCCTACCACTCCCAGACCTCCGCCCCGCGGCTCACACCTGATTCCGCCCTCCCCCACATTTGTCTTTTTCCGTGTAATAGTCGGTCCTGCTTTACTCTCCGCCGCGGCTAAAACTTAAGCCCAATCCTTACTTCCCACACACACTACCCGGCTTCAATTCGGATGGACCCTAAATTTTAGCTCTCCTCTTGTTGCCCCTCCCATGAAATAGGCTGCCCCCACTAACAATCACGCCTTAATACCCCGTTCCCCATCTACCCTAAAACCAACACCGCTGTTCCTCTCGAAACCTCTGCTACCCCCACTCTCCGCGTTTCGACCCCCACCCGACCTCAACCCCCCCAATTCTCGTTTCTTTCTCGTGCAATAGATTTAGTTATTCGTCAAACTCCCCACCGTGGTATATTGCCAGTCTTCAGCCCTGAGTGATAATTCCGGTCTGTTCCTGCAAATTTTTCATCTCAATCCTGCTCCCACTACGAGACCTGACCTCACTTATTTACATCACCCCCCCCTCACCTCCCTTTACTCCCTACTCGCACGTCCTCCCTATCTGCTCTGTCACCAACAACACACTCTCTCCCACACACAGCTCAACTCCCCCACACCAATACCGCGCCCCCTTCCCCCCCCCTCAACACCTCTTATTACTTGACATCGAACCTCTCTTACCCCCCCATCTTCTAAAAAGCAGGCTAGGTCCATCCCACGCACACTTGCTTCGCTTTCCTCCTCCCCTTCGCGAAGACTTTTCAAACTTTGGACTAGTGTCAATCCTGACATCGATCTCATGGATGATGAAACCCAAAAACTCCAGAGTATGATGAAGGGTTGGTACATTGACAACATATCTCAGAATGTCTCTGCCTACGTGGAAACGAAAGTGAACGACGAAGAAGACTGTATTGAGGTTCGCCCCACGGAAAAACTGCAGACGGTCCAAAATGAGTTCTTGAAAAAGATGACAGTCGCCATAGTTTTCCAGGGCGAAACCAAAAACTGGTCCAATGACAAAAAGGTGGACCTGATCCGCTTCCTGGAAGATTCGGTTCTCACAGAAGAGGAATCTCAGACCCAGAAAGGAACCACACACATGGAGGGTAGAGGTCAGATGACATATATAGCAAAGAACATGAAGGTTGTTGAATGGCTGTTGCAGACAAAAAAGGAGATGAAATTCAAAGAGGGCAATAAATGGCACTTTGTCTTCTTTCGCCCCTGGTTACCCAAGGCTGAATGGCAAACAAAACGGGAAGAAGATAAAAGGAAAAACTACTGGGTAATGGCCATGCATTTCCCCATTGCCGCTTCCCTGTTCATCAGAACAACTTTGGAAACTGTAATGGGCAAAATAACTAAGGAGTTTGATCCTATTAGTGATCCTGAAGACCCGAAGTTTGGGAACCTGAAATTTCAGCTCCACCCCAATGCAGAGGAAAGCTTCAGGCCGCGCCTCAAAATTTGGACTGGATCAGACTACTTGATGGCAGACCTAATTAACTCAAATACACCCTGGTGCTCCCAATGCAACAGATATGGTCACAAACCTAATGATTGCCCTTACTGTGAATTATGTGACAGGTACGGCCACACGACTGATGAGTGCAGGTCACAGGAGGGAAACAGACAGAGATCAACCTCAGGGAACCCATACCCAGCAGGTCTCTGGTCTTCCCACTCAGCCTCCCAACTGTTTCCCCCCCCAAGGGAGAGGAGAAATCAGTGGGAAGGTCTTGCCTTCAATGACAGGGAACTTCAGCAGCTCAACAACAAGAAGAAGCAACCCCGCTGGAACCAGAACGCCACCAAACCGCGCTACCCCGGAGGTAACCGCCCCGCCCAACCCAATGGTATGGGCATATTGCCTCAGCCCACCGGGAAACTTGGATGGCGACCGATCGATCCCTCCAACGAGGGGACCGCACTCTCAAGTGCAGCTGGGGAGAGAGGAGCATGTTTTGCCTCTGGCTTCTCTCTCCAGCCGACCACTCCGATTGGCAGTACCGACAAGGACAACATGAATCTACTCCCGGAAACAGACCAGAATCCATCACCTTCAGCAGCGCAGCCACAGCCCACTCAGCAGGACCACATGGTCAAGGGCACGAAAGATAAGGATTTTGCAACTCCCTCGCAATCCTTCCAGGGACCGACCTTGCTGGGACCAGTTACACCAGCGGCACAACAAGATACTCCATACGTAATGGCCCCTCTCATCTTCAAACAGGCAAACCAAACTACACTTCTCCTGCTACAACAGAATGAAAGTAATGAACTGTTCCTCCCATCGGTCACCTCCACCACGTTCCCTCATCCCAATGACTTCCTTTTCTCAGCAAGGAATTTTCTGGATAAGCGTTACTTCGTGCGCCCCGTCTCATCCATGCCCTGCTCGACAGTTTACAGAAAGTGACACTCTCGAAAAGTGCACCCCGTCCTCAGCATGTGCATGAAGGCAGCCCAAGCCCCAGGAAACGATCCGGCCCAAGTGGACAAAGGTCTGTTCTGGGCGCCTGTGGCCTGGTTCAAGCAGAGTAACACCAAAGAGCGTTTCTATCCGGCGCTGGGGGATGGGATCAAGGGAGACATCATTGCAGAGCTGGATGACCTGATCCCAAGGGAACGTTCAATTTTTTCCAGGTTCATCCTGGAGTCGACCAAGATCCCCTGGGACGTCCTGAATCTAATGGTCACCCCAGGGGCATCCCCGCTGCAGATCCAACCCGAGCAGCAGCTGAATGCAGCCAGTGGAAGGTAGGCTGTCTGTAGCCACCTGGAACATCCGCGGACTGATTGATAACAAAGGAAAACATAAACGTTCTCGCCTGAAGTCATGGATCCACTCTCAGAGAATAACAGTCACACTGCTGCAGGAGACTAAACTTTCAGAGGAAAGATTAGCCTCCATGCCAATCTGGTGGAATGGGCCACAAATATGGGCCCCTGCTC